CTGCCCTTGTCACCAGCCCCTCTCCAGCTTTCCTGGAGCCCCTGGAGGGACTGGAAGGGGCTCTAAGGTCTCCCCGCAGCCTTCTCTTCTCCAGGCTGAACCAGCCCAACTCTCTCAGCCTGTCTCCAGAGCAGAGGTGCTCCAGCCCTCGCAGCATCTCTGTGGCCTCCTCTGGACTCCCTCCAACAGCTCCATGTCCTTCTTGTGCTGGGGACCCCCGAGCTGGACGCAGCACTGCAGGGGGGTCTCACCAGAGCAGAGCAGAGGGGCAGAATCACCTCCCTCGACCTGCTGGTCATGTTGCTGGTGGTGCCGCCCAGGACACGGGTGGCTTTCTGGGCTGCCAGTGCACACTGCCGGTTCATGTCCAGTTTTCATCCCCCAGCACCCCCAAGTCCTTCTCTGCAGTGCTGTCATCCCCCCGAGGGACAACACAAAGAGGTGATCTGTGACACCGAGGTGCCCAAAGAGAGGGAGTTACAACTCCTCTGCTCATCCAGCCACCTGCAAGCCACTGTAGAGGACAGCTCATACTCCACAGCAAGGCAGCTGCAGGTACAAGTGAGATCAGATTGAGGAGGAGAAACTCAGGGCCGGAACCAGGAGATTGCAACAGCGAGAGGAGGGATGCATGTCCCTGAGAGCACAGAGGAGACACAGCCCGGTGTGAAAATGAAACACTGTGGGAGCCCAGGAAATGCTGTGCTCCCTCTCTGCCCATCTCCAAAATCAGCCTCTCCTTCCTACCTGCTTTCACATCACCTCTTGTGCTGAATTCCCTTCGTCAACACAGGAGAAGAGGGTATCGGTTCAGATCCTGACGTCATTTGTGTTTGGTTTGATCCAGGATCCTCTCCACGGCACAGACGTGGAGTGTCGTGGTCTGTCGAGCCCCTCGAGTGGGACCAGCCCTAAAGCCTGAGGCTCCGCTGCTGAAACATCCTACACCAAGAGGAAAGTCGAGCCCAAAATTCCCCACCCTGCTGAGCACACCCCCCATTCACCCATGCTGCCCCTACCCTGCGGGAGATCTTGATCTTCTTGGTGCAGCCATAGAACAGGTCTTCAAGGGAGAGGTAGAGATCTCGCACGATCGGGGGGTCTTGCTTCATCGCTCCTCGTCCTCGCAGCCCTCCGAAGGGCAGGACCAGTTCCGAGCCATCCTCAGCAAAGAACTCTACATGGGTGAGCAGAGTGGGGTGTCACCTCACTTGGATCAGAGGTCAGGGTTCCCCTGGGGTCTCCTTATCGTGGAAGCTGAGCATCCCAAATATACCACTCAGAAACCTCTCATCTGCTCTGCACGGAACCATCTTCCCCCTCCAGCTGAAGTGTTTTTCTCCCGGAGTGTTTTTATCTTGCTCATGTGTGACAACAGTCTCGCCCCCACCTACCCGCAAAGGGGTTGTCTCCACCAAAGAACTCCTTGAAGACTTTGTCAGGGTTGTTGTGAAACACGTAGCCCGCAGTCCAGGGGTTCTCGCCACCAAACTCCAAGGGGATGCCGCCTTTCAGACCCTCTTCTCCAAACTTGTCGTAGATTCCTTTCTTCATGGCTTAGGGAACAAAGAGGAGCTGGCAACGGCCACGGTCTCCCACACAGGGAGAGTGCTGGAGATTGGGCAGAGACTGGAGAGGGGGTTCCCTCGCCACCTTGAGAGCTGCAGATTGGGATGGAAGCAGGAATACCTGCCAGCCATCAGCCTGGCTGTGGGTCACAGAGCTGATGCCACCTCCCAGGGGTTCAGACCTCAGCACATCTCTAGCTAGAGCAGAGACGTTTCACTCCCAGTCCAGCCCCTCCTGTCCCCAAAGTCCGTGGAAGAGCAGTGTCTCCCCACTTACGATCGCTGAGCACATCGTAGGCCTCCGCCAGCTGCCTGAACCTCTTTGGCACCCAGGGCTCCTTGCATTTTAAAGGATGGTTCTTTAAGGCCAGTTTCCGATAACTATGAAGGGGAAAGGATAGGAGAAACCAGCCTTACAGGCAGCCCACCTTGGGCTGCCAGGACACCCCCCAGCCCAACTGCTTCCTCACAGCTTCTTCCAGGCCCTTTCCCCCCCACACCACCTCAGACCCCTGCTGTGGAGAGGGGTGCCACGCACAGGGCCGCCCCCATCCCCAACACCACCTCCCGGCCCCCCTCAGGCCGTTCCACCACCCCAGCAGGCCCCGGGGCTCCCCCCACGCA